CATAGCACCCTCATAAAAATATAATATTTTGTCCAGAAATGGAATGACAATTTTTACTACTTACTTAGTTTTAGATTTCTAACTTGCATTCTTTATGTTTCCCCTCTTAAATGATTTAATGGCTTTTAGCATTAAGAGAAAAGATATGAACCTTACTGAGCCGAAATACACTCTTTCAGTCCGTTTTTGCCTCTTATTTCAACATTTTTTTACCAAACTTCAATATCACATACTAAATTCTGACATGCTGCAAACTAATTTTTAGTATCTGCAAATCAAATTTTAGCATTAGATTAAATTTTAGTTTCTATTATTAATTTCTAATACTGCGTACTAATTTTTAGTTTTTTACTAGTTAATTTTCAGCAGGTTTACCCGGCTTCTTTAATACCTATTTCTCTGAGGGTGGAAATTCGCAGGCAGGAAATTCATTTAGCCTTATGAATAAAATATCTATAATTATTCTGCATTGATGGTTTCAAATGATCAACAGATGCAGCCAATCACAAGCAAGACAGAAAATAGATCGATTGCAATACATAGGTTAAATATGGACGAAGCAGGGAATGCCGGCCTAAAATTTGGGGTAAGCCGGAGACACCAACCAGCGGTGAGAAAAAACATTGTTTTACGCGAATGAGAAGTCTACCCTCCTACGAGTACCTGAGGAGATTGTCAGCAAGAGCCAATAAAATAAGGGATATTGCTAGAAAGGAGTTTGATGCTGCTTTTAAAGAAGCTAAATTATTAGAGGACGAAATCAAGGGCGAGGCAAAAAATTGTTGCAGGAAGCAAATACACAGCAATCCAAAGCTAAGAAAATTGCTGAACAAAAATACAAGGAAGTATTAAAAACCGCGGAAAAATCGAAGAAATCGGACGATAACGATAAAAATGAACCAACAGAGGATAAAGAAGTTCAACGTAAAGCTGAAAAGGAACGGAAAAAAATTTACGACGAAATATTAAAGAAATGCCAGAAAAAGCGGTCTTTGGCCAATGCAAAATTGAGGAAAGCCAAAGCTGAATTCAAAAAAGCGATAGCGGAAGCAGCTCGGAAAGTAGAGAAACTTGTAGCAAAGGCACACAGAATTGACCGTTATGTAAACTACATGAATTATCTGACCGGATAAATGGCAAAACTGAAAACCGAAATTGGAAAAATGAGAAAATAAAATGAGATGACGAGTAAGAAATTTTCAAAGTACAGGAAATCAGGACAAATTCATAAACTAAAATCAACGAAAAGTAAAAAGATTTTCACAATAAGGGAATTATGATGGAATTCAGCTACTAAAACTCTCATACCAGCAAAGAATAAAAATCAACACTTTTGGAATGTTGGTTGATATTTTACACAATAGGTATATGATCAGAAAATTAACGTTCAAATTAGTGAAAACTACCGTAAATCCCGCGTATAAGTCGCACCCCAAAATTTGAATACAATATTTAAAAAAATTTATTTTGAACTTGCTTATACGTCGAACTGAAATGGGTTCCAAAATACAGAACATTCAATACGAAAAAAAAAAGAATTTTACAATGAGCATTTTTAATCCTCTTCAAAAATTTTTATTTTTTGATGATTTGCCATCAGGTTTACAGTTATCGCAGGATTATAATACATATAATAAAATTAATTTTGAAGTTTGGAAATTTTTATTTTAAATTCGAGATTATTGAATGCGAACGTATTGCTGAATAAAAATATTGTTGCTTTAATGTAACTCTAAAATTATGTGTGTGGCCAATATTCACACATTTGGAATGACAAATTAACTCACAGATAAGTCGCAACCTATTGTGACAACCAAAAAAACGTGAAAAAAAGCGCGTTTCAGGGTCTGAATGGACTGGAGCATCTAATGTGGTACGCCTGTTTTATTTGTCGACTTGAATCAATTGGTAGACGACTAAATCTACACGAAATCACGCATGGTACACTTTCAAAAGCTCATCTGATTGGCTGTTACAGTCAAACCTGACGCATTCCGATTGGCTATGCTTCCTCGTTCTTTTTTTCCAAATTTACTCCCGTAGTGATAATAAAAATGTGTACCACATTAAAAAGCGACTTATATGCGGGGATTTACGGTAATTAGAAAGTACCATTTCTCACCAACAGTTGTACACACTCTGTAATTGGGATATAAAGAAATGTACTTCGGCGTAAAAACGTGAGTTATCTATCTATGACTGTATCATATGACTACCATTTCCTAATTTACTCTTTCAAGATATGCTTGCAATGATTTTCCGTCCAACCCAACCATTTCCATCAATTTTCTTCAGTAGAACGACTCATTTTCTTCTCAAAAATGACAAGTTTACCCGAATGTGTGTAAAAATCATTCGAACAATAAGAGCCTCAAACGATGGGGAGCTAAACAGATGGTTTCGATAGCAGAACAAAAACTTTAAAAATCTGCTAGAACATGCTTCTATTGAGTCGAAGAAAAAAAAATTTGATGCCACACAGTTGGACGATTCGAGCTCTATTTTGTAGATTGTAATCGCAGTGTCTGCACCATGAAGTTTCTAGTCGCAATTTCCAGCTTTTTTCTTTTTGTGAAGGTAAGAATAGTACTTTTTTGATGGTAAATTCTTCAATTTTGGTGGAAATTTTCGAACAGAACAGGCCCGTAGCTAAGCGCTTGTGAGTGCCAGGGCATACAATACTTCTGGCAGGGCAAAATTTTCAGTGCCCCCTCCCCCTATAAAATGACCTTTTTAAAAATTCTCAAAAAACACAAAAATTTTTTTGCAATTTAAAACTGTATTTTATT